AAGAAAGAGAAAATATGTACTCACAGCTAAGATGTGAACATACATATATTGATATAATCGATATATCAAATACGCTGTCAATTAATTTGTCGCCAGTCAATAATTTGCACATCTATATTTTTTAATTTGCTTTGTTTTCCATTCTTGTTTAATAAGTAATAGCTCCTTTACAGATTTATAGAGGAGCTTAGTAATTTAATCTCATATTATGGAACGGCTCAGAGGAGCAGAGCGTTTTTTTCTCCAAACCGTAAACACTCGAGCATGCATTATTTTTTATTATATAATAGCTAACGGGAGAGGTTTCTTTTTTAACTGATTCCAGCGAATTAAGTTCACGATATTTTATTTAATTTTGTTTTAACCAGATATGACTACTTAATTATTTTCATTTAAATTCTCCAAACTTTGCGAATATTCGCGCGCGATAAATTGAAGCGGAAAGATAAATGCGTTTCTTTTTAGAATTGTTTATACGGATAATATTCCATTTTCACGTCGTTCCGCGATGTGTCCGTGGAGGAAAGGCAAACGCAGCGAGAAAACTGCAGTCGGAAACGCCCGTTAGTATAACGACAGTCGGAAAATCGAGTTCAGCTGGTTTTGTCTCCCGCGCCCTGTTATACACTTCTAAGTCTTCATATCTGCTCACTCTCTCGATCCTGCAGCTTGTATTTCGTGTACACACCATTCTGCTATCTTCTGTGATATTTTCCGGGCAAATATATAAAATACTTCGCGTAAAAGGACCTCGGATCGCGCGTCCGAGCAAAATTGGGAGTAAGGACATAAAAAGCGGGTTGCGTAAAATCTCGACAGAATTGTTTTACTAGAGATTCAATTTCTCTCGCGCTGCTTATTTTCATTCGTATGGCACTCGTTTCGCAGTCAGGCACTGTATCGATATCTAAGTATATTACTGAATAGCGGGGGGGGGGACTTTTTTATTCAAGTCGCTTAGGCGGCTAACGCAAATATTCTTACACACAAGATGTATTCTTTGGCACGCGGTGGCGCCAAGTAGAAAAAGAAAGAAGCTACTCCGCCGCGGAAGCTCAAATTCGCGTTGGAAAAATAGCGTGAATTTTCACGAAGAGGGCGAGCGAACCGTAGGGGGCCGTTTACCCTCCGGCGGCGAATAACACGTTCGATTCCGAGACGTTATTTTATTTTCCTCAAACGTTTGCTCGCGCGCTCAAGTGGGCCTTCTCCTCCGTACATTTGGCTGAAACATCCGCTCGATGTCAAGTACTATTTGGATATGAAAATTCCGAGGCAAGGAAAGGAGGGAGTTGCGCGATCCCTTGTAACGAGTCTCTTCGGAGCAAGCTCGTCCCGTGGACGACAACTCTCTTTACGGCAGACAGAAAGAGAGAGGATGGATTCTCCGGAATTCTCGCAACGACGGAAACGCGCCGATCGATGGGAGAAGCGATCGTTTCCGAAGGAAGAAAGAATACAGCAACTGACTAGCTCGCGACGACGGGGGAGAAGGAGGGATTGCTCGGGGTAAATAGCAATTAGGTACGCCGATTCCTTTGATCCACCCCGACGCGCAGCATCTCAACCCCTCTTTTAGAGCATCTCGAGATGAAAAATGCGAGTGTGTACAGAACGAACTCTCTTGAGAATCACCCTCGACGTCGCGCGATGGAGAGTAGAGTATCTTTAGATTCTACTCTCGATTCAATTTGCAATATTAAGATAGGGGGCCCAAAATTCGTCCCCGCGCCTAATTTCGTCCCCTTCAATTTCTCGGTCCTGTCCCTCGCTAAAAGCGCTATCGGCGCCAGCACGTGTGTATGGAGGAAGGCAAACAGAGCCACTTGTGAAAGTTAAGTGATCCAGGAAGCTTTATACTGGTTTACGAAGATATACAGTTGCGTATGTAGGGAATGCCATGGATGATTTATGTCAGGAGTGTATTTAACGAATGTCACTTTATTCAGAAATGAGTAATATTATAACGCAGGAACGGATGCTCTGCTTCTTGGGTCGACTCCACGTCTCGCTCGGTGTGTTCGGGCACGGGATCGTCCTTTTCTTATTCTGATTTCTCCACTGACTGAGAGGACTCTACCTCCGTTCGGCAATGTCCTTATATAACGCTCGCCAATATCCTGGTTCATTCGTCTTATTTGTAAACAGTGGTTGGTCTAACAATAAGATTTATCACAAACAAACACGATCGAGTCAACGGTCAACGCGTCGCCCGTTATCGACGTCTCTCCGCATATATATTATTACAGTGTATTATTACTTCTATACTTCTACATTAAATTATCGCTTACACGTATTACGTAACGTTAATTCACGGTATGCACAGCGGAATTAAGCTGATTGAATTTTCACAAAGGAAGTTGATGCATGCGCCCGTTGACTCATAAAGTTCGCGATATGTTTTTAAGCATAAATTGCATGCGTGCCACGCGCAACGTTGTATTTTACCAAAACCGCGCGTTTATCGTGAATTAATTAAATGATCGTTACAACGTATCCCGATACATAATAATATATATCACGCATTGAAGTAATAATACTTCAAAGGACATAAAAGCTCCCAAATAATGTGGCAGGTCTCGACCCGTTAATTGAAATTATAAATAAATAGCGAGCGCGTTGTTTTATCTGCCAAGCTTTGTGACACGGGCAAGCAACGTACGCAACAGTATCACAGAGTCGTGCGCTTTTTACACTAATAATTAATTATAAATAATTTATCGAGATATGTAACATGTGGAAATAATAATTGCGCAGAAATGAAGGTAATGGAAAACTGGCTTGACAAAGCTTGTAACAATGTGTAACGTACAGCGCTAGACGATTTCAAAACGAAGATTATGAGTTGGAGATTAGCAGTCATAAAAAACATATCTCTTGAGTAAATGCAGATCAATAGCATAATGTCTTCATAAACAGATAAGATAAGCAATTAATCTACCTTGCGCCAGAGATAGTCATGTACTTATTATTTTCTTTTGATCTGGACATGGTGAATACCGCAAAGCCATAAAAAAATGTCATATAGGTATATAACATATTTTGCTTTATTCCTTTCTACCTTAAAGCAGAGTAATTCTTATTTAACCATCTGTGACTGTCAACGGGTCTTAATAAATTAATTGCTCAATTTCCTACTAATTCTCCTGGAAAGCATATATGCGTCGGCCGCGTCGGGACGAGACACATGGATCTCGTGACAGAGCGTGCCCGTGCATGGTAGGTTATTGATTCAACGCGACCGCAATTCGAAGTTATTAAAGCAGCGTCATTCACAGCGTGACGCGCATGAAATTGGTCCTCTCGCCGAAAATACAACGTTTAGCCGAAAACCGGGAGGGAGAAAAAGACGAGCGGTGCGTCGCGATGGTCTTCGCGACCCCGATTCTTAATCCATCGCGAATCCACGTGTATTTGCAGTAGGTTGACAGTCGATTCGCCGACCACAGTTTTTGCCGCATACCCTCCATTCCACCTAAATTACCAGTATAGAAATATTTTCCTTCTAAAGGCGCCTTAGTTTTTTTTTTCCCATCAAAATCAGATGGGAAAAGTCTTGAGTTATTGAAAACTTTGGATAAATTAAACCATGAGTGATTTTATTATACAAATTTAAAAATCTAAACATATATCATTAATTGATCTACCAAAAATTTTGGTTAAAGCATATCTGAATCTTAAGTTCCATTTACTTAAATCTAAGTTGCATATCTCATATCTCATTGCATACGTACAACAGCATTAACACACATACAGCATTTGGACTTAAATGCTATTGGTCGACTACTGCGCATCCTGATGTTACTTTATCTTGTATTTTTATATCATGATAGTAATAGCGCGAAGCGCGCGTCTGTGATCTCTAGTTATTTAAATAATCAATGAGTTGATTTGTTGACTTCTTGATATTTCTTAGGACTTCATTATTATTTATGCTGTTCTCAAGATAATTAATTGTGTGAATTTCTAATAATTTTGCGGAAATCCTGAATAGTTTACTTATCAGTTTTTTACTATTTCCTTTTATTTTCGTTGGTTTTATCAAATGATTATGAATGCATTTATAAGGATCAGAGCATTTATCAAACATGTAGTCTTTAATATTTAGTTGATTAAGTTGATTTTTATTGCAACATGCCTTTTACAGTAAAATTCATTATATTTAAGTAGAAATCTGCAGTCGTCATCTATTATCTATTATCTACTATATAAAAAATTTTAATAATCTTGACAAGTATATATTTTTTTGAATATTTTACATTAGCGATAATAAAATACATACGATAATAAAATACATATCTACTAAAACAATAAAACACATAATTGTAAGTCATATGTAATCTAACTATAAAAGCCCGAAATATTAAATAAAACTTATTCAGAAATCATTTTAATTATAAAATAAAAAGATATGAAAAAGATATATAATATTTATCGATATTTCATTAATGTTATAATAAAGCTCCCTCCTCATAGAAAGATTTAAAACGTCAAGAGAAAAATAATAATGATTGTGTTCGTCAAAATATAGTTATATGTTGAATTTTTTGACAATACTTGATATATTGTCGATTTCATCTCTATCTTTCGGAATGAATACGGTTTTACGTTTGTTTCAGAAAGTTTCTCCTGCATAAATTAATGTATTTTTAAATTATGAAAAAGTTTATTTTAAATATGTATGTTGTTATGTAATCATTGGGGAGATATTTTAAAATATACATTTTTTTATGTAGATATAAAAGCACTAACCATTGGCTTTTTCTAATAAATGGTTTCACAGCTGGAATCGGGAATTCATTGAACGTATTGGAAAGAACTAACGTGTAAGCGCCCATATTTGACCAAACTACCCAATCGCCTATATAAAGCTCAGGCAATAGAACATCCTTAAGTATTAAATCGGCAGGGTCGGTAGTTGGTCCCCATATATCCGAGAGAAATATGCAAAAAGAGCGTTACAAAAAATATGATTCTCAAGATTAATGTGTCATTTATACTTACGCAGCTAATTTCTTATTTAATAACTATAACATATAATCTATTATAATCAAATTTTTCAAAATGTCTTATTAGTTTTGCTTTTCTTTTATATGCAGAATTGAAATTATTTGATTTAAAATAAATAATAATAAAAGTAACAAAAGAGAATTGTTGGTTAAAGAAGGGTAAATTGAGCAGTTGGTTAAATATCTAATTATTATTACTTTCTATTACAAAGCTGGCTGTGCCAA